TCGTGCCTTGTTTCTAGGGCGAGCACAAGGTGTTTCAGTTTGCTATTAACGTGAAACTCAAACTCTTGCATAATTAAATTTTGATTGAGATCAAAGAAATGGATAGCTAACTGTCGGCTCCGGAAATGATGTATGTGTATGAATACACATAGAGTATCTATACATAAAGGACTGGAGCCACTGAAACGCAGTCATTTTGCAACCTTATTTTTTGAGCGAACGCAATGCGTCTATTATTGTACATAAAGATGAGCTTCCTAAAAATTCCACTGGCATCGGAGACATTAAAATATGACGGTGACCTCCGGAACATGGTACAGCTCTATATGGTTAAGAGACGTTATCATTTATAAAAAACTCATTGTCAGTATTAGGCAGGAAGAAGTGATGATGTGATAACGAGAAACCGCTGTTACGATAAGCCCTATAAGCCTTCAAACAGGAAACCTGAAGTCATCATATTTGCCGTTCTAATGCGATATTGATGTAATATTTGTTGTTTTATGACGAAAAGAGTTAAAGTGGTTATTTAGGTTGATATTAAAGTTAATATTGCATCAGCGATGATTTTATTAACAAGTTCATGCAAACTGCAGGCATATGATGCAGATTTCAATATGTTTACATTGTAATACATTTGGAAGTGAAAAAAATGTAATGAAATGTGCAGCAGCCAAATGTAACCCTGCATTTTGCTGGCACTTATTTTACCTCCCTTAAAGCCATAAATTAACTGGGCTCTTGAAGATAAAAAACCCAGGCTTTGATTTCTTTCTTTTCCAGTGGTGTTTTAATATTGATATGTTTCAACATAAGGATATTGACAAATTCTGACGCGGAAGTACTTTATATGCGAAAAGTCGTTACAGTTGCGTTCATGTTTTATGTAACAAGAATTTCTTGTTTCCTTTGTAAATATGTTCGATAAATTGCAGTTTTAATTTAAATAAAAGAATATTCCATATTGAATCATTATTTTGCGTATAAAACAATTACTTTTAACGTTTAAAGTTCAAATTTGCCACAAACAATTAGTTGTTACTTTTTTGTATGCTACGTATAAATTTAAATCTTACATTTGACGACCAGAATATAGATGAGTTTGAAGTCTAAATTAAACTGTATTTATTCTGGAAATATGTGTTAGTCATACACAAATCATACAAAAATCAGACACCAGACAAATAAATCATCGCTTGGTCTATTTTTCTTTCTTTTCTAGACACGTGATTATTCTGATTTTAACTATTTAAATGAATAATGACATCATATATATCAACCTATTGCCAGCGTATAACGAAGATTTCTTAGACAATATGATTTTATTTTGGTAAAATGATTTAAGTAAGTTTCTTACAAAAAAGCCTACTTGCCTTTTGCAACTTGCAATATAATTGAATATCTGAAGATAATTTCGGTATGTTTCAAGGCTATTAAGCCATAAACATTAACACGATGTTTGAACTAACGCCTACATCTCTTTATACTTTTCTTTTAGCTGATACTCCAGAAGACTCTATCATCGACGACCTGCTTCTTTCTATTCAATTATGTGTCGGTTTGTGTCGTTGTCCACATGATTCTTTTGTTTAGATGCTGATAAAACAGGCCTTGTTATTGAAACATCACAAATCGTAGCACATCAGTTTATTATAGAAATTATATTAACAATAACATCATTGGCGGACAGATGGCTTATTACATTAAATCTATCTAAGACATATTCGTAATCACATATTGTTCCAGTGAAGAATATTTGTTTCAACAACTGTAAGATAAAAGAGCAATGGACTAGAATCTGTATGGAATCAGGTAAACAAGTAAATAAGGAAACTATGGGACAGAGACAGTGTAATCATAGATGAATTTAATTTTACTTATTAGTTAGATAAGATGTTAAGCCTGAAAAATTGTCGTCGTCAATACCAGATCCAATTAATACTAGTACTCGTAATATGTCATGAAATTCAATCAACACACGTGGAATATCAGCTATAACAACATTTTATTTTAAGATAATTCGTTTTCAACCGGCTATACGTGTATAGGAGAACGCATCCCTTTAAAAGCGATGAAAAAATAATAAATATATTACGGGTTAGCCTGTTGACTGACTGGGGCTGACAAAATTGTTCACGCAACGTTACACCAATAATGCAGCTATAAAAACCTTCACATTTCTTTAAAATATGTTTCTTGCACTTTTATGTAAGAGTGAACAAATATAGACTAATTGATATATCCAGGAAAAAGATATAACCAAACTTATTCTAATCTGTCAATAAAACACATTTTATAAATATTGTAAAATAATTAAGTTAAATGAAATGCAGATTTCTTTTAAAGTAATTTTCTATGATAACAATACTTTTTTACATTTTACAAAAAACGTTTTTGCTGAGAAAGGCACACAAACGGAATCAATTTTAGGGGAGGTCATGATCTTTCAACATTTTCAATCGCTTAATATTTCCATTAACTAGTGACACTTAAAAACTTTGACATTAAATCAAAGTGATTAAGAACTCTATACTCACATGAAATAATGCTATATTTACACAATATTTTAAATTACTTTCTTTAGTGCATTCAAACCGCATTTAGGTATATGATTCTTGATTATGATTGGTTTCTTAAGTTCTTTTTTCTATTATTTGTCTTAGAATGAAACGATTTTCTTTTCTCGTGTGTTTATTTTATCCGAGAATATTAGTTTTGTTTCGTACAATATCCATCACCCAAATGCCAGAATCGTTAAAGTCACGCGATATAAATTGTGAATTTATAACAATAATCATAGGGTACAAAGTTGTGATTGAAAGTGGCCAACGTCATTATATCTTTTTCTATCTGCTAAATTAATTGTTATCAATGTCATTTTTGACATCTGATCATATTCATAGATTGTGTTATCTTGATTTTGTATTTTGGAGTTATAACAAACCTCGGATAATTTAAGTTTGGACGTCTTATAGCTTACCTTTACTATCAATGTTCTTTAAATGCAATTTATTATTAATTGGTAATGCTCTTATTGCAACTGACTTGTTATGTATTGTTTGTTTCTTGTTTTTTTTCTTGTTTTTGTTGTTGTTGTTGTTGTTTTTTGTGCTATTTCCCAACGTAGTTCCTTGCTGAATTGCCCAGATCATATTGCATGCACATTTTAAATATAGCAATGAACATATTGTATGTGTCTTGAATTGAATTTTAAAACTTAAAGATAAAATATATCATAATAAAAATAATGAGATAAGTTAACTTTCATATAGCTAGTTAGCAACGTTCCGTAAGGGAACTATTATACCGATTTCATTAGTAAAAGTATTCTTCATTTTAATTTTCAGTGTAATAAGATCAAAGTATAAATTTCAAAATATAAGTGTAAATTTTTACAGCAGAAGACTACAAGACGCAGATGTAAATGCAGATGTAAAAAAGAAGCAAATTTATACAATATATCAAAAACAAAGCAGCTAGTCATGATATAGCAGCATTAATTCAGTGAAGTTACGACAGTTTTAAGGCTACACACGAAACACCTGCCTGTAACAATTGTCGTAATTAGAATTATGTTTTCTATTTAACAATTTTATTGTTTCTTAAATTTGAAAATCCTAACTACCATAAATCCAGCGAAAATGGCTTGTACAAATGTGATGTATTTTCAACAATTATTTTTTCAGGTGCATTAAAGTGACATTATGCCAATCCATGAGGAGATATAGAGTGAACAGGTGAAAGTCAAAATAAGTTTTTCTCATAACATTTTCTCATAATTCCTTTCAATTTTATAATTTACTTCACACGAACGATAAATAGCTCAATAGGACCTGTGAAATGTGTATAATTATCCATCGGAATGTATCTGTAATTTTCAATTATAAAAAGAGTGGGACAGTCTTTTTATGTATTTAGGTAGATTTACTTTTTTACCCTAAACATTTTCAAATGTAATGTGTTGGTCAATCACCATTATAACGACCAGTTTACTGAAATATATAGTCAATTAAAGTCAATTTGACAATGTAAAAATGAGAATGATGTCACTTTAAAGTGACATTATGCTCATTCTTACAACAAAACTTCTCCGAGAAGAATGCATCTTAGCTCAGAAAATATTAGATTGAACTATTCGAGGTTTAATATTTTAATTCTGCCGATAAATTTAATAACGTTCATCATATGCCATATCTTTTAAAACAAAATATACTTTTATTGTACGTATACATTAAAAAACAGTTGACATATATTAAAAAGTAATTTCACGTGTAAGCATAATAAATAATTTATAAAATATTATTTTATTAACCTAAGTAACATGTGACAAAAATATTACAATTATTTTGTTTTACAAATCTTTAACATAATATTCGATAGAAATTTAATTTAAAAGAATTTCAAAACAAAGAGTTTTTTATTAAAAATATATAAATTTTCATAGCATGATTAAATAACATAACATTGTGGAAATTCATGAACACAACACCCAAGCAAGCATTGAAATGTAGGATTCAGAATACTTTTATTTCATAAAAATGTTTCGTGTCTTTTACTTAAATGCACATTATGCTCCAGAATCAAATGATCTTTACCTTTACAGGTAATGCAACTATGGGTGTTATAATGTTAAAATAATTGTTTTAGAGAATGCAAGATGTTTTTACATAAAAAGTAGCGCTAGATTTTATGTATTGGTCATTAAAGAAGCAAACTTAAAACAAAATTGTTTTTTACCTTTCTATACAAAATTACTATAACTATACTGACTGCCAAAAAGCAACAGGTGGATATCTGTTAATGAGTAACACTTTGAAAACTTTAAAACTACACAAATGTAATGTAAAACCTTTAAGAAATATGAATATATTTATTTCCAGGGCATAATGAGTCTTTAACTATGATCGACGTTTTGTTTGTTCAGCAGTGCGGTATTTATATTTTCTAATCACGTAGGCCAGAATAAAACGTTGCTTTTTATGAAGATAGAAATTAAAAGTGCTCAATAAAACATTATTGCACCAAAACAATTTCATTAAACAAATTTCCATAAATGAAAACATTTAACGAACATTAAAATAATTAAAACAAATCTCAAGTTAAGAATAAATTCGTTCAATAAAAAGTGTCCATTTAGAATTGTCCACAAATACTTGAGTTGAAGATAGATAATATATTTTAGTAGACACCGTTCCTTTCATACTAAAGTAATAAGACGAAACAGTTGCAAAGAACGTTAAATCAAAAGGCTTACATGACTTAAGGATGCATCGCAGAAACGATCCGTTGCATACCAAGTGGAATACATCTTAGCACAACACAATCTGACGGCATACGTCTTAAATAACATAATCTCATTTATTCTCCAATGCAAGACGATTTAATTATAACGATTCTAAATCATTTATACAACCTGTTGTAAAAGGCGCCATATGCCCTCGAAATTTATACATTAATTTTTCACTTTAAAAGGCAAATAAATGTTTAATACTGTATGATTTAAAGATTTGGAGCTGTTAGATATATATAAGTGGTGTTTTGAATTATAATAAAAAAATATGAATACACTGTATCTACATGAAGCAAAAGATGGCCCAGTTAAACGGCAAATGATTAAATGCTTGAGAATGATATCAGATCACTTCAAAAATAATAATAAAAAAATGAAAAATTAATATATTATCATGTTTGAAACTGAATGGGCATTTAAGCATGATTTTATATAAGAAGATGCTGTTACGAGTTACATATAGTTGTGACATTCTAAGAAAGTATCAGAATGGACAATATTTTGTCACGTGTCACTATGAATGCTTCTGTCTGGAATAATGTACTCTCCTGACATCAAATCCTCAAAGTTTATTTTCAATCTAGGAGTTCTATTGTTATTTTTCACACTTTCCTCCATTTGTAATTCATATCGTAGGCGCGGGAATATAATTTGTATATTTTTGTAAATTTCCTCGTCAGACGACAATGTCGTCTGCTTCTTTTGACAACAGCTGTTCAGAGCCATCCGTAAGCCAGCTCTAAATTTAGGGCTCATCCAAAGATAAATTATTGGGTTGTAGCAACTGTTACTCATTGAAAGCCAATGAAAACCCAACCATAGTATAGGAATATATTTGTTGTTGTAGATCGTTGGGTTATGGTCACCAACTAGGGTTATGGTATGAAGTGGTAACCAACATAAAGCGTAGAATATTACAACTGTCACCATCATCTTTATCATCTGAAACACAACAAAAATATGTTATTATGATAACGCAGATCTACATCATGGTTTCGTATCTTGCAAATGAAACACTGCGGATTGGAATGGCAAATGCATTTTAACGTGTAACACAGATATGCCGAAGGTTACCTATTTCAGTATTAAAGTTTTATTATTGTTTTTTAATCACTATATCAGATAAATTTTAACCATCTGTTTTCAAACGGGACCCCAAGGACGGGTTTTTGACATATGACTGGAAATAACTTTAAGTTAATTTATTAAATAACTATATGTTATTAGTCCTATAAAAAAGCACCTGCCACGTTCAATAATACGATGGCCTGCCTTAAAACAGGGCCAATATCTATATCACTTTTTCGGCCCTGGGCCGAAAAGTGATATAGATATAAAGCCCGTATTTGAAGTAATTTGATTGGCTAATAAAGCAGGGCCAAAAAATGATATCGATTTCTGCAAGAAACTGGGAAATGGCAGCCATTTTGTTTTTACTCAGTCTATGTGTACACGCCAACAGGTTGCATAAATGAAACAAAATATTCTCAGTTTCTAAACATTCACAGTCTGACATTTTGTTGTACATGTACAATATAAGTTACAAAATGTAGATTTTTCTATACAAACTGATAATAATGTAGTTATTTTTACAGTTGTTCTTTGTTATAATTAAAATATGTTACAATTAAAATAAGAAAAAAATATCCGAGGATTAAATGTGAAATATTATAAGTACGTCATGTAGTTATTTAATAAAAATGTCAATAAATAAATGATTTGATATTGGCCCTGTTATTTGTCCTCGGGTCAGTCGTATTGGCCCTCGGCCTTCGGCCTTGGGCCAATACGACTGCCCTCGGACAAATAAAAGGGCTAATATCAAATCAGTTATTTATTAACATATAATATAATTATTCCAATAAATGTAGGTCTAGACCAATAAATTGTGTTCACAGCTCACACCATTTATTTCCAAAATGAGTAATTTTATTATTAGAAATGACTCAAAATGGAAAAAAACACAAGGTAATGCTTTCACTTATATTCACCCAAGGATACATGTAACACAAACATACAATGTTCAATTTATGTCTGTACATTGTATAACCTGTTTTTAAGTTTCCCAGCTAATTCAAATCAATTTCTGTGTTCTTAGGGGTTTGGACCTATCACTTAGGTGTTACAATAAGTTTAGTATACATTGAAACATGTAGTAACAATGCATACAATCTCTTTTACTTATGCATCAGAAATGTTGTTTTTTTTTTGTTGTTTTTTTTTTGGGGGGGGGGGGAGGGGGGGTGTACTTTGATAGTTTCAAAAAAGTTGCCCATTTGCCAATTGCCAGATCAATCTGGCCCGTGTTCACTAAGAACATATCAGAATCAGGATCAAATAATCCTGATATTATTTTAATTGTTTCATAAAAACTAACATAAATATTATTTTTCTAGAATTAAATTGCACATGTTCAAAATGTAAAGATAACATGCTGATTTTCAAAGAAACACACCTAATTTGGGACACTTTCGACGAATGAGAAACGAATACAGAAGAAATCGGATCAAAATAAGGATTAGTTTTAGGATCAACTCAAAATTAGGATGAACTGTATAATGCCCATATCTTGTAAAAATAAAAATAAATCAATTCTAAAATTCCATTTACATGCTATGTAAGTCAAATTGTATTGTTATATGATACGTTGATATTAGAAATTTGATATGCGAGGATAAGCAATAAATTATATATGATTTGTTCCTTTATTCTAAGTGAAAAAAAGACATGTGTCTTCTGTTGAAATGTGCACATGTAATAGTATGATTAAGAAGTTTTATGTAAGTCAGAATAGTATTATGCTTACATATTTATGACAAATTATTTCATAATTAGAGCTCCTTTCCTCAGGTAACAAGTATTTAAAATGATATAAAATCATTATTTTTTAAAATGGTATACTACTCATGTTTGCCCTTTCTAAAGCAATAATAATTGAATATTTTATGAGTCAATATATGCCTTTTATGTTTTTCGCTATTTTGGATTTATATTACTTTTTATCTCACGTTGTTAAGATTATAATAATAATATTTTTAATGGTAAAATTAGAAATAATGAAGAATAAACAGACGGTAATTAAATGGAAAAATATTTTCAGAAGTAAATTAGACAAGGGTGGGATGTATTATAAAATGATATTTCATAAATATTTGACGGCTGAAGTAGAATACCAATTAACTATGATTATGGAAGATGATGATTTAATATATATTCAAGTTCAACGAACACCAGGAAGCGAGAATCTCATTAATAAACATAACCTTCCTTAAGATATTAACTAGTTTAATTGTGATATCAATAAAATTAAAAGAAGCTTGATTAACATTTAATTCCACAAGCTGGTTTAATTCGTGAAAGAAGCAGGCGTGTTGTTATATCATTTCAAAATTCTCTAAGGCCAGAAAATGTGTTTTTTATAAGTTTAATTGCACCGAGCTTAAAGAATGAGTGAGAACGTAAAAATCATAAACTTAATTTTACAAAAATGAATGTGTAGGGTAATAATACAAGTACTATTCAATAAAATATTGATTAGACACTAGACTTAAACCGAAAGATTCACTTTACCTTTTTCTTAGCGGTTGCCAATTGAAGTTTACGTTTGTTTCTATCTGTTCCTTGAATGTTCTTAATCCAAATATTGTAACCAATTTTAGAATATGAGAATAATAAAATGGTCAATGGTCCAAAGTAATGCAAAACCATTAAGGACAATCCGTACGAATATTGTTTAGTATTATTTTCCCAGGTTTCTAGACATTGTCCGCTTGTGTTAGAATGGTAAATCACTCTTGATTTCAAAAACGTTGGTAACGGTATAGTAAACGACATCACCCATATTCCAAGAATCGTTAACGCAGTTTGTTTTTGTGTTATTCTTGGTTTGAATGGATGAACAATCACAATGTATCTATCTATACTCATGGCAACGAGGGTGTAGGAACTTAGAAACACAGCAACAACTTGTATGTATAGCACAATAGGACACATTGTCTCACCAAATGGCCAATAATTAAGAATCAAATTGGCAATAAATGTAAATGGAATACAAAACACGGCCATGATTATATCACTAACGGCGAGGTTTACAATAAAATAGTTCGGCACCGTGTGCATTCGTTTATAAGCATACACTAAATAACAAACAATCCCGTTTCCACCCACAGCTATGATTGTTACAATAGAATACATGACGATTATTAAGACCTGTACATATTCGGATATCTGAAATGCCTCATTCGATGCCTTCGTTGAATTATGTTCACTTTCTAAACCGTCTTGCATTTTATCACACATGTGACATGTGTACCTTACACAGTTTAATTTATTTAGATTAATTTATACTTTAAAATGTATAAACATTCAATCTAGTATGTGATCTGTGAAATCATACTTTGTAATGCCGGATTGAAAATTTATTCTTATCTACATTGAGTTAATAAATCCAAAAGACGAGTAATTTTATACTACTCGTATTATCATCCGTCAAAAGTATATCGTAATTTACAATTTAGAACGCATGTATTTAGGAATTCCTTTACCTAATAACTCTTGAAAATATCACAATCTGCCACTGCATATCATCGCATTTGTTAACGTGTATTTTGTTCGGGTTATTAAAAATAAAGTGCAAAGAACTTGTTTATTAAATCAATTATGCTTTTCATTTTAAATTTTATAAATTATGTACACAAGGAACCATATAAATACGCCAAGTAAAACATTTTATTTCACAAAAGTGCTGAGCTTACTCCCCTCATTTATTTTATATCCATGAGGTGCATTAGTCAAATCATTCATTTTGCTACCTTTTCTGCATTTAAAATCAACTTTTGTTTTCATAACAATTTGTAAACATTTATCAACTTATTCCAGAATAGAACGAATATCATCTAACATGAGATTAATGTACGGCACATTTTCATTGTAATAAAATAAATCACTTCACGCCTTTCATTCCGTTCTTTTTTCATTTATATTTGTTTCAAATCGTAACGGTTAAAACTTTACTTGCAAATAAACTCCTTTCAATTTAATTGCTGGAATTGTTAAAAAATATTCAATTATTCTGCAGAAAAAATCAAAAGGCTTCAACAAGCAACACATCATTGAGCAATCGCAAACTGATGTGATGATTTACTCGGTGAATATCAAAACAAACTGTGAATCATTATATGTAAAATCCAATAGAGAGAATCAAATCACTCGCTGAATTCTGGAAACCTTGTGATATCAGCTTAAGAAAGAACAATATTGCATTTGTCTGGAATACTGACTGAAGGAAGACGAACTAAACAAGTGGTGACAAATACAGTCTAACAATTTACTATTGCATATTAAATTTCATTTTGTTTAGTTAGTTTTTGAAATTAAATCATATAAACGTATATTAAATTAACCTCTAACCTGCTGAATTTGTATACTGGTTTTGTTGGTGAAAAAGCTTGTTCAAACTTTAAGGTATTTCAATATCAAACTATTACCATACAAATTTTAAAAACAATACACTTCTTCTTAGTACCCGTAAAAATCTGCAAACATAGTTTATAGGCAAAATAATCAAAATTGACTCCTCTGTCTCATTTAAACTATTGCCAAAAAATAATTCTTTATAAGTTGTACAATAAATGTTGTATAATACAGAAAGATCAAATTACTTTTTAACCTTCAATAGTTATACATGTAGTTAGTTAGTACAAAGAAAGTGCTTATTATAACCATAACGTTCTTAAGTGTACAAAATGAGTGTTTTAACCTTATTATTATTAATTGTTTACAGTAAGATTTAACCTAAAAATTGGTATGTGTACGCATAAAGTCTTGAAGCCTGAATTCCACACATGCTATCTTAAGATTCACTTATCATTTTTCAAACAATGCAGAAATGCTAAAAATAAACAAATTTTGTAATATTCTCATATTCAATTTTAATACATTTACAATTTCACGCCAATGTGAGTATATAAATAATACAAAATTGTACTTTTTCCCTTGAATTTCATTTTAAGATATATTTTTTTCCAACATGTAGGCATGCCACATTAAGTTCAGGCATTAATTACATGCAGGAAAAACAATTAAGTTTCACAATAACATTAATCTGTGAGAATTATATAATAAAAGCAAAACATATTATTAAGAAATCAAAGAAAAATATTATGTATGAACTAACAAAACTACTCATAAAAAACAGAACTGTCAACAGTTTCTACCAAATAATCGGACAGAGCGATTGGCTTCTAAAGTTATTTATCTCCTTTTTGCGTAAAAATAAGAAAGTTTAACCATATCGTCTTTTGATTTTTGAAATTTCGGTAGACCTTGGACGTGATCTTGCCTACCCTCACTAAATACCTTTCGATTTTAGTTTGATAGCAGGAACCACTTAAGTCATTTAATACGTTCTACTTCTTTAGAATTTAATTTTCAAAAAGAAGAGTCTTCCGAAGTAAGAAAGCTCTCCACTCCCCAACTGCATGATTAACGTCCGTTTGACATTTAGTTACAGGAGAACAATGCGAACATAATTGTATATACACTTATAAAAGATTCAGGACTACTTATAGCTTAATAATATCCGAACGGTTCATATAATTATCTATTTATCCATAATACTTAGCTTTTGATAGAAAAAATAAAACTGTTGTTATTTATCATTTCACTTAATGTACCCCACTGAAAGTCGTCAAGTTTAAACATATTTTAGTGCTCAGAATATATAAACATGTTAAAGTTAACAATATACATAAATGGTTACGAAAATAAGTAGTCTTTTAAAACAGAATTAAAATGGAAGTCATAGTCTTAGAAATGTTTTCTCCTTGGTATTTTGTTGAATGATTCTAAATAATAATCGATGAGTATCAAACAATCTTTTAAAACATGACTATATTTAAGACCTTACTCATGAATATGAACTTAATAATAATTTGCATATGAAATGATTTTTTCTGCGTTAAAGCTATTGCCACTATTGAAAACTTGACTTGATTCACGTATTCAGACTTTTTGTATGTAAACTTTATGAATGTCTTTTCTGTATGATTGGTATTAAGCATTGTTTATATGTTATACTCTTCGTATACGGACTATAATTCTATTCTACAACCTGAAAATTTGTGATAAATATATAATTATGTACAAAAAATATAATTGAATGAAATATATTATATATACATGTTATAATAACTTATACATAATGTATCATAAAGTGGAGGCTCCAGGAATAAAAGATTTGGTATCAAATCGTATCAAACCTTTATGAATTTGTAATGATTTAGACAACTGTATCTATAATATTCAGAAAGCTAATTTCTTGATCTTCACCAAACTGCAGAAAAACTTTAAATGTACATCATTTGCTGCGTTGCTAATGACTGCAAAATGAGTTTTAACCTTTGCAATTAGCCTGTATTATGGTGTGATGGTACGAATTTATCTTCCATTCACAGTTTTATACGCAGCGAACCTTGATATGGTAAGCACTGCAGGTTTCACGAAGATAGTTTAAGGCAGTAATTATAGGAGTTCATTATATTGTCCGTGACCATTACGTAACCCAGGTGTTTTCAAACTATTCAGACACTAAATTTTATTAGCCGAAAAATGCAAATCAAAGACAGTGATATCATAATAATTATACTAAATTTCATTACATCGCATCGAATGTAAATGCCATGAAGATAGAAATATACAATATTCAAACCAGATTTAAATAAATGAAACTCGAAAACTATAATGTCAGTAGATTATACAGACATGAAATGTCATATTCAAGACGTTTCACCCCTACATTTTATTTAATTGAAAGGTATCCTTGATAAACACAACTTCAAAACATTCGTGAATCTTTAAACACGTATCTAATGGTTTGCTTGAGTGTTTACCTATGTATAAAAATGGATTGGAAAGAATAAATTGAATCATAAATTTGGTGAACGTATGAACACATGATATATTTTTTATTGGGTTTAACGTCGCACCAACAAAGTATAGGTCATTTGGCGACTTACCAGCATTATTGGCGAAGGAAGACCTCAAGCCCCTCTGTACATTATTTCAGGCAAAAGCAAGCACCGGAGTAAAACAACTGACGTTTTGTAAGCTAGCTGGATAGCTTTCTCACATTTCTCTGCTTGTACCAGTAAAACTGTCAGTGTCCGTGAGACTTAATAATATAAATAATGAACTTAAATATTATTACTAAAACACAATGAAAGAATCAAAAGTAGTATCATTGTATTACACAAATAGCACGCATTATTAAGTTATCATGGCAATTTAGATGTAATTATTTGAGCAAAAGGGATACACAAAACATAAGCTTGACTTGGAAAATTATATAACTTTGAACTTCGAAATCCGTTAATAAAAACTATATGAGTTCACGATATATGACATAACTTATTTATAATTTGGAAATTTTTAAATGTTTAAAAGTTTTAAGAAAACATAAAAAAGGCTTCTAAGGTACGTTGATAATTGTTGGCAACGATGCTCACTGCAACGATGCTTATTGGTTAAGCTTGTCCATGTACGCATTAATACTAAATTCAGATGCGAGGTTAAAGCGTATCATTCTTCATCATTTTATATCGTTTGTGATATGATTATTCCAAGAATATCCCTGTGCATGACTTAATGCTTTATTCGTTTATAAAAAATTAAGTACAAACATGTCTGCCGACTTACAATTTATGCACGTTCTTTTATATTTGATGTACATGTAATCTTATTTATGTTTGGGCAGTCTGAAATATTTAATTACAGTATCAACGTGAACGTTTAGAATGTTTCTACCTGATACAGTAACATATTCTGAGTTTGCACATTCAATGTATAAATCACCAAAATAAATAAGACTTTTAACGGTTTTTGTTTTGGGTTAAGACGATTTTAAAACAATTATTTTCAATTGCTTTTGGATTTAAATCTTAAATATCCCGTCAGTCACTAGTATAATGTGGAGTGGTTAGGGAGGTTTTAATACAGACTGAGCAAGACAATGATTAATATCTAGATAGTGTGATTTTCAATTCTCTAAAATATGAAATTTGTTTATCCTGCAAATCAGCTAAAATTTTATCAAACGACAAATATTTTAAAATGTTGTCAGAGGAAGTTTATTATAAAATTGTCATCTACATTCTCAAAAATAAGAAGATTCTGGGGAAAGGGAAACATCTATCAATAATTTTGTGAGTTTTAGCATTTACTCATTAATTATACCATAGGGAAAAGAAGACTTCAAGGCTGAAATTGAAATGTATTTAGAACATATTATCGTAATTGCATGTGTATTGTATAGTGCAAATCATATCAAATTCGTTTATCGCTTAAATCAATATGTATAGGATTTTTAAATGTTCGGGAAAAAACCCTGATTTAAATTAAGTCATTCAGTCAATCAAGCAATCCATGAAATTAATTGTCTTCGAGAAAAGAAATGTATAAGCAGAAAAATAATTATGAATATATAAATACCAGATAGAAAGGAAGTCTTATAATTTTTTGAATAAATGTTCCGGACATAAAACGTCTTTCAAATCATTTCACCCATATATCAACGTTTATTGATCATCGAATCGTCTACTAACCTTTATGTGATCTTTTGTAGACACATTTTTTTATTTTTTTGTGTAGAAGTTACAACAGACGATGGCATTTTACAGATCTTTTGTCATTTCGAAACGGTAATACATATATATACATTTTCAAAGACGCTTTTGTGTAGTCCACCAATGACAGTAAGTACTGTTTTATTTCATTCGAAAAAAAACATTGATGGCAAAGGTGTTCAATGTATAATTATATCATAATTATAAAATATCTGTGTCATAAAATGCTTCCTGAAACGTTTTTTTTAACAATGTGTGTAATATTTAGATACCTTATCATT